GCGAAGCAAAGAAGCAGCAGATAGATGTGTGCTTAAGCCGCGCCCTTCTTGCTGCTGCTATCCATTGCTGTTTGTTGCTGCCTCTGCCTGTGACGAGCAGCAGCAGCTCAGGGAGCTGCTGCTGCTGCTGCTGCTGCTGTTGCTGCTGCTGCTGCTGTTGCTGCTGCCCGGGTTGCTGTCCTGCTGCTGCTGCTTCTGCTGCTGCTGCTGCTGCTTCTACTGCTGCGTCGTACTGCTGCAGCGCATGCAGCAGCAGCAGCAAATCCTCATCCTGTGTGTAGCTGGTGCTCGTCAGCAGCACAGCGGGCCGCTCCTTTCTTACAGTAATTTGTATGCAGCAGGAGCAGCGGTTGCTGCTGCTGCTGCTGCTGCTGCTGCTGATGCTGATGCTGCTGCTGCTCCTGTGGCTGCTGCTGTTGATGCTGTTGCTGCTGCTCTCGCTGTTGTTGCTGTTGTTGCTGATTCTGCTGCTGCACTCAACAGCATCTAATATGATGCTGCCGTCTGTGCTGTAGTCGCTGCTGCTGCTGCTGCTGCTGCTGCTCCTGCTGCTGCTGCTGCTGCTGCTGCTGCGGGGGCCGCTGCTGCCGTCCCAGGTGCTGTCCTCAAAAGCACCTCCACAGGTGTAGACACTCTGAGCTCACAACACAGCAGCAAGACACAAAACTGCTGCTGCTGCTGCTGCTGCTGCTGCTGCTGCTGCTGCTATTGCTGCTGCTGCTATTGCTGCTATTGCTGCTGCTGCTGCTGCTGCTGCTGCTGCTGAGTATTTGCTTCTCACCAGTTCTGTGATTGGAGTTAGCTCCGTATACAGAAGGCGCCCGAGCGGCTGCTGCTGCTGCTGCTGCTGCTGCTGCTGCTGCTGCTGCTGCTGCTGGTGCTGCCACCGCTGCTGCCGCTGCCGCCGAAGCTGCTCATACGCCTGCAGCAAAACGTCAGCTGGGAGCTGTGTGCTGCAGGTAGGCAGCAGCAGCTGCTGCTGCAGCTGGAGGTGGCCGCGCTGCTGCTGCTGCAGCTGCTGCTGCATGTACTCAGGGAAATGCTGCAGCAGCAAACCCAGCAGCGAGAACTCTCTTCTTGTTGCTGCTCCTGCTGCTGCTGCTGCATCAGCATCGTACACTGGTCTTGCTTCTGCTGCAGCAGCAGCAGCATCAATAGCATAAAGAGCAGCAGCAACAGCACGGTGGCCTGCCCGTGGATCATTAGCAGCAACAATCCTAGCATCTGCTTCCTCTCTTGCTGCTGCTGCTGCTGCTGCTGTTTCTGCTGCTGCTGCATCGACAGAAAAATAAGAAGCAGCAATGTAGTGTCTGCATGCAAGAGGCAGCAGCTGCAGCTGCTCGGATGGTTTATCATACAGCAGCGCAGCAGCAATCTGCTGCTGCTGCAGCTCCTGCTGCATGCGCCTAGAAACACAGAAAGAAGCATCAGCTAGCCGCCCCCACTGAAACTCTGTTGCTGCTGCTGCTTTCTCTGCTGCTGCTGTCAATGCACCATTTGCTGCAGTATATGCTGCTGCTGCTCCTGCTGCTGCTCGTCTACCTATTGCT